TGTAAATGTTCCTTAATAGGAAATTTGTTAAATTATGGTATATTCCTAGAATGGAATAGTAGGCAGTAATTAAAAATGATCATGATAGATTTGATAATAATAGTGTTAACAGTATTAATAACTGAAGTATTTTGGAAGAATATATATTTTCTCAATTTTATAAAAGTAAAAATGTAAAGGAAGTTGATTGTGTATATAGATACATTAAAATGTATGGGAAGAAATAAACTAAAAATGTCGATTGGTTCTTTCTGGGCAGTGGGATTATGCGTTCATGGGCTAGAACTCTGGATTGCAGGTATCAGAAAAGCAGACTCAAATAGACCTAAGGAATCTGTGAGCTCTCAAAACTGAGAGTCCAGAGGTATTGCTAGTTTTAAGTGTCGCTCCAGCCACTTGGAGTCACCAAAGATGTGGTTTCTTGCTGATTCTCTGCCCTCCCTTTGCAGAGTCCACTTTATCCCGAGTCCCTTGGCCACCAGGGCATGCCCTCGTACAGCCACATCTCAGCAGTTCGTCCCCCTTTCAGAAGAAGAAATAGGGTCTCTTCCAGTAGTTCCTGCTTGAGTCATGGGTTTTGTTTCTAGTACCCAAAAGAGAGCTCACACCCAACTCTCAACCATCGCTGTAGCCAGGAAGGTAGGATTGGCTTCGGCCATGATTTCGGCTCTGGAGCCAGAATTTAGCTCAGCATCCCTTGAAGGGCTGAGAGGGAAAATACTCAGTGGAAAATCAGGGTCCCATTAGGAGAAGAAGGGGTGAATGGACTCTGAGGAAGCAACCCACAAATGTGCATGCCTGTGGGTAATTACCTGTGCTATAAATTTTACCCAGTAAGCTTGTGTACTTCGTAAAAGTTCTATTTATATAACTTTCTCACCCATATCTCCCATGCCTCTCAGCTCAAAGAAAACGGCAGCATAGCATACAAATCTTTCCTTTGTCAGCCACCCTTTTTACACACAGGAATCCAGAAATTAGGAAGAAAAAACATGCAGGTAGGCTGAGTATGTGAAGTGCGGGCCCAGGAGCAGGGTAGGTTGTAGGGAGAGCCACCCCAGTTTAGGGTGAGAAAAGGGCAATGTCTGTACGTGGCAGCAAGTGGAGGAGGACTCAAAGTGAGTCAGAGAGTGAACAAAGGCAAAGAGGAAAAACAATACCTGCCTCCAAGAAAGAGGCCTGAGGAACAAATAAAATTGTATTTAAACAGTCCTAATTGCACATTATTGGTGTTCTTGGCCCGGTGCCTGGTCATTTTGTCCTTGTCGGTCACAGTGCATTTCAGCTATTCATCTTCACTGACTTCATTCCCCAACAAAGAGGCCCAAGACTGCAGCATGTAGAGCAGGTAGAAAATGAGTGTTTTAACCAGACCAAGACAACCAACCACTCACCCCACAACAAACCTTCAGTTCAGCAGACACGACTGGCCACCTGCAGTGAGCCAGGTATTGTTAGGAGCTAAAGATACAAGAGCTGACTTGGGACCTGTTTTCTTGGAGGCCATACAATCCAGTACTTTCCGAACACCGTTTCCTGTTTATTTCCTGAAATGCATCCCACCCACCCACAATCTTTGGCCTCGCTGAGACAATCCATTGATTCCATCAGCCCACCCCTATGTTGATTTGGGAAACTTTCGTAACTTGGCAAAGGTATGACCTTCTTTGGATTTGCATTTCCAAAGGTCTTTGATTCAGTATGCATCCTGTGCGCTGGCTATGTTAATGGAAAAGGAAAGCCATCACCTGAGTTCTACTTTGCTGTAAACTTACACAGGGGAATGGCTGTTCGTATCTTTCAGCATTTCACATTTGCCAAACTTAGAAAACCATGATATGTCAGAGCATTTGAATATAATTACTTTTTGAGGTCATTGTGACCACAAAGCATCATTTTTATAGGAGAGCCCTACAGCATTTAAAAGTACGCATGATGTCTTCATTTGAGGCATAAATGCCCGATACTTAATGCTTTTAATAACATAGTGCCACTGTGAGATGGAGCAGGAAGATAAAAGGAATAAAAAGGGAAAAAAGGATGGATGTAAACTAATTATCAAGCGGCTTTTACCCCAGCCTATATTTATGAGAAATCGTATTTTGGATGCGAGAGGGCAGCTCCAATCTGAAAGACCCAGCAAATGTATTTTGTTTTCTATTTTGTAGCAGATAACT